ATCCGGGCTTGATAACTGGATTAAGAAAATTATTAAATGTAAATAGTAATTGATATGATTTATATTATATTTTACAATCAAAGGATAAAATGTATAATGGGTTTTCATAAAATAATAAGTGTTACACTAATATTAATTATTAAAACATTTATTTCCCGCCTGTTTATTATTTCAATATTTATATATGAACTAAGTTATTCATTAGTTACTACTGTATACATAGTAAACATATGAAAAGCATTTAAATAAAGTAAAAAAATTGTTAACACATTTTGTTTAACACAAATCTGAGTTTAAAAAAAAATTGTTTTTGTACATAATTGGAATACCTTTATTAATATGTCTTACAATTCATATGGTGACAACTTTTCCATTGCTGAGGATTATGTTCGTTAWATAGAAAATCCTACTATCTACGGTGGTTGCTGCGAATTGTTTGCAGCTGGCAATATTTTACTATATGTATTTTAAATGTGTTATAATAATAATCTTTAAGCCAAATTTGGTGTAGATACATTCTTTGTAAAAATATTGCGTCTAACCGGAAATATTAATTGTGGCCATTTTGATGTTTATTTATCTATTTCTTATATTGCTAATTTTACACAAAATGTAATTATTACTTCAGAGACCTATTTGTCTATTTGTAATAATGTTAGTGTCACAGAAAATTTAATTAATAAAAGTAAGAAGCGTTGCCGTACTAGATGTACAGATAGACCTCGAGGAAACCATGTCAAGGAAGCTAAAAAAACACGAGAAAACCATTTTTCGGTCTGAAAACCCATTGTGCAAATGGAAAATTATTAAATTAACTGGTCTTGCATATGATCTGACAGTTGATTATAAAAATTATATTGGCACTATAAACCAGAGTTGTAAATTTTGTAACGCTCTCAAATGGAAAGGTGAAACACCTGGCATTTGCTGCAATTTAGGTAAAACAAAACTCGATATATTGCTACAGCCACCAGAACTGTTACGCAGTTTAATCATGAATGAACATCCTGATCACGATCACTTCATTAATC